TTACTCCAGGCATTTTAGTTAATTTTGTACCAACAGATAGTAGATTAACAGGTGCCTAAAGACTTAACTTTCAGCGATTAGCTATTTTACTTTTAAATTACATTATCCAAAAAAGCCAATTACACTTTTCAAAAATATTAAGGGACAGACCTAATATTTAAGCCTTTACTAGGTGTGCTTTATAAACAGCAGTATTTTATCCCTTACAACAACTCTACAAAATAAATACAAATGAAGAAAAGACTGAGAAAACAAGAAACTTTGCCCATGCTGATTACTTGATAGAAAAGATTTCATAAATTATAAAATTCAGATATTAAAGAGTAGTTTGGAAAAAAGGAAAATAAGTTTGGGAACCTACAATAAAATAGAAAGTTTCTTAGATTTAAGTCAATTAATATTCTCTATGAGATTTTATGGGTCAGCCTCAGATGGGTTTGCTGCTAGATGCATTAGTCATCCATAAAATATACATATTTTAAACCAAAAACAATTATCTTATTGCATCTTAACAAAAATGCATTTAACCCATTTGCAAAATTGTCTGTAGTTGTGAAAACAAAGCATTTCTTAAAATGGTTATAGTGTGGAAGTTTTCTCCCTATGAAATTAGATCTGTCATTAAACAAACATTCCCTTCCTTCCCTCATTTCCTTCAGCAAAATGAACTTTCTGCAGAAGGGCAGAATTTTAATAAGTCTGCTCTCACAACTTCATTACAAAACTTGAATACTTTCCATATATTCTCATTAAATCTACCAAGTTTTGTTATCTAGATACTGATTCACAAAATTGTCAGATACAGCATGAAAGATATTTGAGGTCTCTATGAAATTAAGACCTGTGTGATGTAAATGGTAAGCCCTTGGCTGTTAACCGAAAGGTTGGTGCTTCAAACCAACCCAGTGGCTCCATGGGAGAAAGACTTGGCAATCTGCTTCCATATGATTACAGCCAAGAAAACTCTATGTGGCAGTTTTAATCTGTCACGTAGGGTTTCTCCCCCGACAACCACCACCAAATTGAGAAGACAGGCAGCAAGAAGAAAAACAGAGGTCCTTCAAGAAGTTACAATCCAAATGAGGTCACTGGCAATATTACAACTAGAGATGAGCTTGAGAGGAATACCATCCAATGTACCAGTAGAAACCAAGCTTGTAAAACTCTTACTTATATGTGTTCCTGGAGATACCTACTCCTTAAGCAAGGAATGATAGCCAACCAGCAACCAAGAAAACAGCATAGTCTAAGTAATCAGCATACAAGAGGTAACAAGGAAGAAGAGGATATAAGACCAGGTCTGCCCACCAGGTCTGGCTCTTCATAACCATGATCATCTCCTCAGGTTCTATGAGGAAATTAATGTGTAATTTATGGGTAATTTTCTTCCCATAAACACCAGGCTCTACAGTGATCAATACAGTGTTTAATGAGAAAGTAATTTGCTTTGTAAACCTTCATATAAAGTACAATAAAAAAAATTTTTTTTAATTGGCATGGCATGGTTAGAAAAATAATGCATAGGGTGGTTGCTCGATTGGCAAAAGACCCATAACGCGCATATTATTTGCAAAAAAATATGGTATTCTGTATGATACTATAATGCTGGACACATGACTTCATGCATTTGCCAAAACCCACAGGACTGTACAACACAAAGAGTGAAACCTAATGTAAACTAAGGACTTTAATAATAATGTATTAATACTGGTTCATTAATTGTACCAACCATCATTTGTCTGTCAGTCTGTAGCACTGTGGTGACTTGCATGTTGCTGTGATGCCAGAAGATATGCCACCAGTATTTATGTCAAATACCAGCAGGGTCACCCATGGTGGACAGCCTTCAGTGGAGCTTCCAGACTAAGACTGGGAAGAAGGCCCTGGCAATCTACTTCTGAAATATTTGGCCAGTAAAAATCTGATGAACACCAGTGGAATATTGTCTGATAGAGTGCCGGAAGAGTAGCCCCTCAGGTTGGAAGGCACTCAAAATGCAACTGGGGAAGAGCTGCCTCCTCAAAGCACAGTTGACATTAATGATGTGGATGGAATAAGGCTTTTGAGATCTTCATTTGCTGATGTGGCATGACTTAAAATGAGAAGAAACAGCTCAAACATCTATTAGTAATTGGAATGTGGAATGTACTAAGTATGAATCTAGGAAAACTGGAAGTTGTCAAAAATGAAATGGAATGCTTGAAGATAGCTATCCTAGGCATTAATGAACTGAAATGGACTAGAATTGGCCATTCTGAATCAGACAATCATATGACCTACTATGTCAGGGATGACAAATTGAAGAGCAATGGCATCTCCATTCATTGTCAAAAAGAACATTTCAAGATCCATCCTGAAATACAATGATGTCAGTGATAGGACAGTATCCACACACCTACAAGGAAGACCAGTTAATACAACTATTATTCAAATATATGCACCAATCACTAAGGCTAAAGATGAAGAAACTGAAGATTTTTACCAACTTCTGTAGTCTGACATTCAACAAACATGCAATCAAGATGTAATGATAGTTACTGGTGATTGGAATGGGAAAGTTGAAAACAAAGACAAAGGATCAGTACTTGGAAAATAAGGTCTTGGTGACAGAAATGACACTGGAGGTTGCATGACAGAATATTACAAGATAAAGAACTTCTTTGATAGAAATACCTTTTTTCAACAACATAAACGGCAAGGTGACTATATACATGGACCTCGCCAGATGGAATACACTGAAATCAAATCAACATCTGTGGAAAGAGACAACTGAGAAGCTCAATATCAGTCAGGACAGGGCCAGGGGCCGAACACAGAACAGACCATCAATTGCTCACATGCAAGTTCAAGTAGAAGCTGAAGAAAATAACAAAGTCCACGAGAGCCGAAGTATGACCTTGAGTACATTTCACTTGAATTTAGAGACCACCTCATGAGTAGATTTGACGCACTGAACACTAATGACCAAAGATCAGACAATTTGTGAGATGACACATCAAGGGCATTATACAGGCAGAAAGCAAAAGGTCATTAAAAAAAGAAAAGACCAAGATGGATGCCACAAGAGAGTATGAAACTTGCTCTTGAATGGAGAGTAGCTAAAGTGAAAGGAAGAAATGATGAAGTAAAAGAGCGAACAGAAGATTTCAAAGGGTGGCTGGAGAAGACAAGGAAAAGTATTATAATGAAATGTGCAAAGACCTGCAGTTAGAAAACTAAAAAGGAAGAACATGCTTGGCATTTCTCAAGCTGAAAGAACTGAAGAAAAAATTCCAGCCTTCAGTTACAATATTGACAGATTCTATGAGCAAAATATTAAACGGCGGGAAGCATTAAAAGAAGATGGAAGGAATACACGCAGTCACTGTACCAAACAGAATTAGCTGACGTTCATTCATTTCAGGAGGTAGCAAATGATCAAGAACTGATGGTACTGAAGGAAGAAGTCCAAGCTGCACTGAAGGCACTGATGAAAAACAAGGCTCTAGGGATTAACTGGAAACCCTGGTGGTGTAGTGGTTATGAGCTATGGCTACTAATCAAAAGGTCAGTCGTTTGAATCAAAAGGTCAGTCGTTTGAATCCACCAGACGCTTCTTGGAAACCCAATGGGGCAGTTCTACTCTGTCCTATAGGGTCACTACGAGTTGAAATTGACTCGACAGTAACGGGTTTGGTTTTTGGTTTTTAGGGATTGATTGAATATCAGTTGAGATGTTTCGACAAATGATGCAATGCTGGAAGTGCTCACTCGTCTAGCCAAGAAATTTGGAAGATAGCTACCTGGCCAACTGACTGGAAGAGATCCATATCTGTGCCCATTCTAAAGAAAACTGATCCAAAAGGATGCGGAAATTACCAAACAATATCATTAATATCACATGCAAGTAAAATGCTGCTGAAGATAATTCAAAAAAGGTTGGATGCAGCAGTACATTACAGGGAACTTCTGGAAATTCAAGCCGGATTCAGAAAACAATGTGGAATGAGGGATATCACTGCTGATGTCAGATGGACCTTTCACCGTACTTATTCAATCTGTATGCTGAGAAAATAAGTCAAGAAGCTGGATTATATGAAGAAGAACACAGTATCAAGACTGGAGAAAGACTCATTAACAACCTGCATTATGCAGATGACACAACCTTGCTTGCTGAAAGTGAAGAGAACTTGAAGCACTTACTGATGAAGATCAAAGACTTCAGTATGGATTACACCTCAACATAAAGAAAACAAACATCCTCACAATTGGACCAATAAGCAACAACATGTTAAGCGAAGAAAAGATTAAAGTTGTCAAGGATTTCATTTTACTTGGATTCACAATCACACCCATGGAAGCAGCAGTCAAGAAATCAAAAGATGTATTGCATTGGGAAAATCTGCTGCAAAACACCTCCTGAAACTATTAAAAAGCAAAGATGTCACCTTTAGGACTAAGATGCGCCTGATTCAAGCCATGGTATTTTCAAACTCTTCATGTGCATACACTGAATAAGGAAGACTGAAGAACTGATGCCTTATAAGTATGGTGTTGGCAAATAACATTGAATATACCATCGATTATCAGAAGAATAAACAAAGCTGTCTTAGAATTACAGCCAGAAAGCTCCTGGAACCCAGTTTGTGCAGTATGTATTCCTACCTTAGAATTCAGCCATATAACCTTGTTGGCAACCCCAGAGAATTGAAGACTGACCTATCTTACTTACTGGTATATTTGCAAACAGAAAGCAAAACTAGAGATTTAAAAAAAATGTGTTCCTACTTTCTAATACAAACTGAAACACCAAAAAAAAAAAAAAAATTTGGCTAAAAAGAAACACAAAACTAAATACGCCATATACTGAGAAGCGCTGTTGTATAATACGTCAAGTGAACTGCATGCCACAGCTGCACCTCAGGTTAAGGTTCTTCAACTTAAGTGTCAATTCTGAAACCAACAACAACAGGTAATAGTGGCAACAGCCTGAAAATGTACATGCACAGGTCCAAAATTACCTTGCTCCAGCCTAAAGCACAGGGAACGTCTTGCTGCTTCCATCTCGGGAGTTGGATTATCCAGGACATGTCTACACCACTGCAAAGGACTCATGGATTTCTCTGATGAGGCAAACGTCTTTGAGGAGCTAACATACAACCTTAAAAAAAAGAAGCATACATTATAGGTATTACATAGGCATATAGAGACTAACTCTCTTCGGGAGAAAACAACATGTATTTAACCATTTCTATAGACACAGAACTCACATTTGATTATTTCTAAGTACCAAAAATCATCTCTATTGAGCAAATATCCCCAAATCGAGTCCCAGGGTGGTACGAACGGTTAACGCACTCAGTTGCTAACCAAAAGGTTGAGGGTTTGAGTTTACCCAGAGGTGCCTCGGAAGAAAGCCCTGGTGATCTGCTTCAGAAAAATCAGCCACTGAAAACCTATGGAGCACAATTCTACTCTGACGCACATGGGGAGGGGGGCAGTCACTGTGAGTTGGGATTGACACAACAGCAACTGAAACTAACTGGAATCCCCAAATACAATATCAAACATTCTACAGACTGGTGGGAAGGACTTCAAGAAAAGGTCTAACAATCATCCCCTCAGCTGGGTCTCATAGTCGGCGACCAGGGGATTTTGTTACTGCACTAACCCTGAAAGATGCCATGATGATTTTACTACCTCACTACACATTTCTAGAAATGAACATTTTCACCTCATTCTTCAGCCACAGACTCTTACGTGAACTTGGGCTAATGTATGTAAACATGACGTGGAAAACAAAGCAAATCTTACCTGTATTTATAAAGATAAGTAAGGTCAGTACAACCTTGGTTCCTTGAACCCTTAAATAATTGGTATTTCCTCTGTCTCGATTCTGTAGTTACCTTGGTATGCGCTTCTTTCTCATTAAAGCTGAATAAACTTTAGAAGTTATGTTTTAGGAACAGTTCACTCTCAGCCTCTAGAGCATTACATAGTAACAGGCAGTATGAAAATGACCGTCTTGAGACACTTCGAGTCATAACGAAGGTTCTTCTCTCATGGTATGCTTTAATAAGGTAAATTTTAGAATATTTTCAGGGTTATACAAAAAGGTTAATCTTGAGGATTAACCAACAGTGAACTAAGAAAAAAAGAAAGAACACTGACAAAAATCACTACCTTCCCTCTTCCCATCACAGGCTCTAGTAATTGACCTTGTTACACTAAGCTCTATTCTAATTACAAATCTTATTAAAGTAGCACTCCTTTAAACAAAGTTACCATAATTCTAATTAGCATACATTCTTTAAATAACTTGTACTTCATTATTCAAACTCTTATGTTGTAGTCAGGATTTCCACCTATTAGAGTAAGATATCAAGTTATCCATGATGGGTGGGTATGTATCATTCTTTGATGAAAATTATTCTTACAGATGAAGGGTCAGCAAACTTTTTCTGTAAAGAGCCAGACAGCAAATATTTTAGGCTGCGGGCCACACAGTCTCTGTCGTAACTATCCAGTGTGGCCACTACAGCCAGAAAGCAGCCACAGACAATACGAAAGTGCATGAGCGCGGCTGTGTTCCAATAAACCTTGCTTTTGGAAACCCTGGTAGTGCAGTGGTTAAGAGCTAAAGCCGCTAACCAAAAAGTCAGCAGTTCGAATCCACCAGGCACTCCTTGAAAACTCTATGGGGCAGTTCTACTCTGACCTTTAAGGTCGCTATGAGTCGGAATCGACTCGATGGCATTGGGTTTTTGTTTTTTTTAATACGGACAATGAAAGTTGAATTTCATATAATTTCACATCACAAAATATTATTCTTTTGTTTTGTTTTTCCAGTCATTTAAAAATGTAAACATTCTTAGCTCACTAGCTATACAAAACAGACAATGGGCCTGATGTGACATAGCTGACTCCTACTATAGACGAAGATGACAGATAGATACATATACATAGACAAACATACACATACACACACATACATATTAATTCTAAGGTATCAGTCTTTTGATAGTCCTGCCTCTTGTCAGTATACTGATTAATTAAAAATCCATATTCCTGGGCCTTATCTACCTAAATCCGTCCCTTCTTCCTTTCCTTGCTAACAGACTCCTAAACTTTCCAGAACTAGGTATGTTTCCCTGGACCCCCAAGTAAAGGTTAATCTAAGCAAGTTTTTCTCAAACTTTGGGGCAGCAGAATTACCTGCAAGGCTTGTTAAAACACAAATTGCTGAACCACACCCCCTAAGTTTCTGATTCAGGAGGTGTGGGGCAGGGCTAAAGAATTTCTAACAAGTTCCCAGGTAATGCTGACTTTGCTGCTCTAGAGACCAACCCCTTGAGAGGCACTGGGCTAAGTCAATCATAGTAATTCCATTACACCCCTTTGCCCAATGACTGGTTTAGGCACAAGCCCTGCATAATAATCCTAAACCAAAACCAAACTCATTACCATAGTCAGTTCCAACTCATAGTGACCCTACAGGACAGAGACAGAGTAGAACTGCTACACAGGGTTTCCAAGGCTGTAATCTTTATGGAAGCAGACTGCCACATCTGTCTCCCTTGGAGGGATTGGTGGGTTCGAACTGCCAACCTTTCAGTTAGCAGTCAAGCACTTACCCACTGCACAACCAGGGCTCCTTGGATATTCCAATTTAAAAAAAAAAAACCCTCGTGGTCAAGTCGATTCTGAATCATGGCGACCCGTGTGTTACATTCAGAGTAGAAATGAGCTCCACAGGGTTTTCCTGGCTGTAACCTTTATGTAAGCAGATTGCCAGAACTTTTTTCCATGGCATCTCTAGGTGGGTTCGAAATGCCAACCTTTTGGTTAGCAGTCAAGAGAAACCATATGTGCTACCCAGGAATCTAGCCAATAAAAAGGAATGGGAAATCTTCTGATAAGTGTGGGCAAGTTTTTCCTGTTTAAAAAGGTCACAGAAGATTCAACTATATGCTGCCTACAGGAAACACACTTTAAACACCCAAATAGGTAAAAAGGAAAAGGACAGAAAAGATACACACGCTAAAACTGATCAAAAGAAGTCTGAAGTGGCTGTATTAACATCAAACAAAGGAGATTTCTAAACCAAAAATATTACCAGAACAAAACAAGGTTATTTCATATGATGAAGAGGCCAATCCATAAAGAGGACAAAAGAATCCTAAAGTTATTAGAAGTAGTTATCCTAATAAGAGAGCTTCAAAATACATGAAGCAAAAACTGATAGGAAAGTAAGAAACTGCTGACAAACCATAATTATAGTGGGAGATTTCAACAATCTTCTCTAAATAATTGATAAGAACAAGTAGAAAATCAGAAAGCATATAGAAATGTGAATACTATCAACAAATTTGACCCCCACCCCAAAAAAACAGAATTTTTCTTAAGTGCACATGAAACAACTATGAAAATAGAACATATTCTGGTCCAAACAACTCACAAATTTTGAAGGATTCCAGTCAGTCACACAGCATACGTTCCCTGAGCACAGCAGAATTAAACTGTAAATCAACGATAAAGAGATGCCTGGAAAATCAAAGATTTGGAAACTAATGCTTCTAAATAACCCATGGATCAAAAATCAAAATGGAAATAAGTATTCTGAAGTGAATGAACATGAAAAATACAACATATCAAAATTTCCAGATGCCGCTAAAACAGTAGTGGTAATTTATAGCACTATTGTTTTAGGTGCCATCAAGTCAGTTCCAACTCATACCAACCCTATGAACAACAGAATGAAACACTGCCTAGTCCTGCACCATCCTCACAAAAATTGTTGCTACGTTTGAACCCACTGTTGCAGCCACTGTGTCAATCCATCTCACTGAGGGTCTTCCTCTTTTTCACTGACACTCTACTTCACCAAGCATGATGTCCTTCTCCAGGGACTGATCCCTCCTGGTAACATGTCCAAAGTACGTAAGACAAAGTCTCACCAATCTCCCTTCTAAAGAGGATTCTGGCTATACTTTTTCCAAGACAGATTTGTTCATTCTTCTGGCAGTCCATGTTATATTCTATATTCTTCGCCAACACTATAACTCAAAGGCATCAATTCTTCTTCGGCTTCCTTACTCATTGTCCAGCTTTCACATGCATTTGAATTGACTGAAAATATCATGGCTTGGGTCAGGCGTACATTAGTCCTCAAGATGACATCTTTGCTTTTTAACACTTTAAAGAGGTCTTCTGCAGCAGATTTGCCCAATGGCAATATGTCATTTGATTCTTGACTGCTGCTTCCATGGGTGCTGACTATGGATCCAAGTAAAATGAAATCCTTGACAACTCAATACTTTTCTCTGTTTAACATGATGTTGCTTATTGGTCCAGTTGGAGGATATTTGTTTTCTTTATGTTGAAGTGTCATCCATACTGAAGGCTGTGATCTTTGATCTTCATCAGTAAGTGCCTCAAGTCTTCTCCACTTTCAGCAAGCAAGGCTGTGTCATCTGCATATCGCAGGTTGTTAATGAGACTTCCTCCAATCCTGATGCCGTGTTCTTCTTCGTATACTCCAGCTTCTTGGATTATTTGCTCTGCACGCAGACTGAATAGGTATGGTGAAACGATACAACCCTGACACACACCTTTCCTGACTTTAAACCACACAGTATCCCCTTGTTCTATCTAAACTCCCTCTTGGTCTATGTACAGGTTCCACATGAGCATAGTTAAGTGTCCTGGAATTCCCATTCTTCGCAATTGTCTCAGTCATCTAGCACTGCTATAACAGAAATACCACAAGTGGATACCTTTAACAAAAAGAAATTTATTTCTTCACAGTCAAGTAGGCTAAAAGTCTAAATTCAGGGCATCAGCTCCAGGGGAAGGCTTTCTCTCTCTGTTGGCCTTCTCATCAATGCACCCCCAGGCTAGCAGCTTCTCCGCACAGGGACCCGGGGTCCAAAGGATGCACGCTCTGCTCCCAGTGCTGCTTTCTTGATGGTATGCGGTCCCCCTGTCTCTCTGCTCACTTCTCTCTTTTATATCTCAAGAGATTGCCTCAAGACACAATCCAATCTTGTAGATTGAGTCCTGCCTCACTAACACAACTGCCACCCATCCTCCCTCATTAACATCATAGAGGAAGAATTTACAACACATTGGAAAATCACACAATACCGGGAATCATGGCCC